GAATATCTATCATGAGAAAGATTCATCTCGTTGTTCCTATCAGAGAAAAAGACCCATTGACATGATGAAACAAAGCACTTCCAAAAATATTTAAACCACTCAGTAAAACATAAGTGCAGGCTTTGAAGTTAAACATTTGTTCAGGGATCTGATCCAAATCCCACTGAAATCAGTAGGAGTCCTTCCATTGACACCAAAGGGCTTTGGATCAGACATACTACTTTGCTGAATAGGATGAAGACATCCATAAATATCAACTGTCTTGTAGTACTTTGCTGGGTCCTGTGATAAAAGGTGTGAGTGTAGAAGGGGAATGGAGATTTATTTTTCTATATAAGAAAGAAAAAAAATTAGGCTAAATCTAAAATAATGTTCAGTCTTAATTACATAGTCGTGAGTCTGTCAGTGTCCCCAAAACACAGGTTACCTGGAGTGCTTTCTGACACACAGCTTCTCTATCATATTTCCTGCTGAAACCAATATTACTGCTATTATAACACACAAAATTCTCTTCTTTAGACAGTTAGGATTAATGATACAAAACACCAGAAACTGATAGTTCTACTGCTGTGGTTCGTACCACCAGTGTAGAATCACACTGTGCTGTTACAAAACAGATTATCCCAGATATACTGAAACAAATGATGATAAAGTCTCTTTGCAAAAAATTATGTTGCAGTGAGATAATGGGTCTCAAAACTGCTTCCTAGGAGGAAGCAGAAACTGAGGGAAGAGTTAGAAAGCCTGTTGGTTTTAAGTCATAGTTCATTAATTTTTTTTATTTATACAGTAGGTAATCATGATGTGTCAGTAAACAGTATTCTGAAGTAGGCCAGTTCTCCATATGCTTAAATGGTTGGGAGAAATGAAGCTAAAAAATTCATCTGGAAAACAAAGAAATTTGTTACAGTCGATGGCAAAGGCAATTACTGATTGCCAGCAAAAGGCAACTCAGCAGGCACCACATACTCTGGAGTGCCTCTGTGCCCACAGTCTGGCTCATCCACCAGCTCCCCTTCCACACAGACTTCACCACAAACATGTCCCTCCTCTGGCTCTCTCGGCACACGTTGCTCCAGTTTGCTGTTGCTGGGCAGGGGTGAGCAGGGATGGAGCCAGGGCCATGGTGGGCAGAGCCTGCCAGCTCCTCCCTCCCTGTCCTGTGTGCTCACACTCCTTCACTCATCCCCTGCTCGATCCTTGCCCAAAGAAAGTGAAAGCCAGAGACTCCTCTTTCATCCTGTCTTTTACAGCACACTTCCCAGTGCTGCTGGATGAGATAAAACCTTGGATTACAAGTAACAATTATTTTGCATACTGCTCACTGCTAAATCTGGAAACCGTTTATTACCTTAACAATTACTTTTAAGTGAGGCTTAAAAATATCCCACTTTACAGTACAGGAAAGATCCCAGAAATGTACGTAGTTATGGAGGGAGAATGTCTCCAGCTCCAAATAGGCACATATACACAGAGGCATACAGAGAAAGCAGGAACACAGGGTACTTTTTGAAGAGCAGTGATGATTGTCTCAGAACCCTAAAACCTGACAGAGAGGAGGCACCTCACATGCAGTTTCTACAGAAGAAGGAACACATTAGATCACTATATACCTAAATTTACAAATTCCCATTATTTTACTACATCAGTCATGTTTTGTTCACAGAAATAAACATTGGCATCTATTTATGCTACATGAATAAACTCTTCTTTACTTGTTAGCAGCATCCAGGCTATGTTAATAGTTTCTAATGATCAATAAAATTAAATCCTTCTCTCCATCAAATTCACAAAGTTTTTTGCTTCCTTTCTTGTTGTCTTCTTTTCTTAATTCCTGAGACTTTGTGGATATATTTGTTCCTTCTTCATTTATATACAGAGAAACAAAACCAGATAAACTGATAGATAAAGATGTATAACTAGTGTTTAGCATCCACCTGGAAACACAATGTGGAGAAAGAAAATTATCCCCACACTTCCAGACTTTTTCTGTTTCTTGATATTTACTCTCCCAGAAGGACAACAGCATGATGGGCACTAGGCAGGAAGGGTAATGATCTGTGCCAAATTTTATGTGCTTGTGCTTCGTGCCATGGTCTGGCTTTTTTTTTTTCCCCTGCCAGCAGATCAATAAAGTTGTGACTTCAGGACCATGCAAGAGCCAAGAGCTGCTTGGTGTCTGTAGCAGCACAGGACTAACAGACTACTTGAAGTGGGATAAGGCTGGTATCAGGCAAGTATTCAGTTCATACTTGCTCTGCAGCAGTCTGGAAGTGTCCCATGGGAATCAGGTATGGGATAATTAAGGGCTCTTAAGCCAGCAGACAAGGATATTACAAGGATAAACATTTCAAACTGAAGGTAGTAGATGCAGAGTTGTAGAGGAAGCACAATTTTTTACACGTGGGAGTTGAAACCTATTGGAACAATTTACCAAACATTATGGCAGATTTTCACCATAGGCCATTGCTAAAATATGCAGGGATATGTTATTTGGTTTCAGTTTTTTGTTTTTCTCTTCCTTCTTCCTGTGAGTGTGATCCAGTTTAAACAGGAATTAATTTCAATTTAACTGATGGCCTGGGTTATGCAAGACCCAAAAGCCACAATGGTTCTATTAAGCCTCATAATCTGTGAGTCTGTACTCAGTCTTCATAACTGCATAGAAAGGGGAATGAGGGAATGCAGCAAAGTGTTTGGTAAAAAGGAAACCTTCACAATGCTTATAAATCAGGCATAACAGAGTTTCCCCAAACCCTCATGGGCTGCTGTATCAACCTGCCTCCTGGTCTTCTGTTCCTGGAAGCTCCCAGATATTCACAGCCTGAAAACATTCCTGCATTCAACATGCAAAATAAAAAGGCAGTAAAACAGGTGGAGGAACAAAGCTGTTCCTTTATACTCTGTTTTTAATTGAAGGGATTATAAAACACTTCAGGCATGCTGAGAAATAATGACTTTGTTCCTAAATAAAAAGCTGTAGCTATTATTTTTTTTTTAAACCCTTGTTCCTCCTCCTACAACAGTGGTTATTATATGCATGCATTTGCAGTGTAATAGAATCAGTATCATCTCTGTGTCTTATTACTGTTGCAATCCCCTAACATGCTGTTCCTTCCATCCCACATGAATCTGGTAATTACTGCTGAGCCATGCCATGCGTACACTTTCCCTTCCAAGGCAGCATCAGCAGTTACCACAAACACATTTCCTACGTACTAGTAAACACCAGCAAGTGGGACAGTACATGTTGCCTCATAAGCCAGTTCCAGGGCGTGATCCTTGCTCTCCAGAAAGCTGCACGTGACTGAAGACTCATGGACATGAAACAAATGTACACCGTGAGATGAGGGGAAAATGCACTGGACTTACTTCTGCCTTCATTTTTGCTGTGTGTTGGAGTGAGCCCTGTGAGTGCTGGCAACACTGTGCAGGGCTGCTCAGGCAGGTTACAGGAACGTGTGTGTGCCTCTGTGCATGTGTCAGTGTGGGCAGGTGTGTGTGAACATGCTACTTTCAGAAAGAGAAAAAACAAAAAAAATCAACCTAGGTCTACTTTTACCTCCTCTTTTTAGGCTCATGCCCCCAGCCTGTGTCAGAAAAAGCTGAAAACAGGATTTGCTACATCCTGTAACTAGTTCAATTTTGCTCCCCAAACACCATATCCTACTGTTTAAAGCTGAAAACAAGCAAAAAATCTCACAGAATAATAATCTGGCTGCTGGTGTATTTAGTGTTGTAAAACCACAGATCTGCCACAAACATCTTTCCTGATCTTAGCAATTTGTGCTCCTGAATTCAGCTGGATAAAGAGAGTCAGAATGGAGCAGCTCTAAGCACATTTCAGAATCCTAATCTTGTCGAAATTCACACAGCACCACAGCAAAAGCATGCTCCAATGTGGGATGCTCCTGCTCTTTCCACAAGCTCTCCAAATTTTAGATAGGAAAACTGCAACTGCTCCAATCCCAAACGCAAACTCCAACACTATTCCTGCCCAGGAGCATTGCAAAGGCATCTGTGCTGGCTGCTGCAGGATGTTACCTTTTCCAATCTCAAGAAGAGAGATAAGAACAGACAGCACATTTCTGCTGCTCATAAAATGTAGGCTCTGATACATAATGGCTAAAGAACACCACGAGATGACAGTGCCACTTTTGTCAAGTCCAACACTCTTTTGGCAGCAAACCTTTACATTCTCAAGACTAAGTAAAGTGCATATAGTTCCAGATAAGAATCTGTCAATAATGCACCCTGCCATATTAGCGCTTTAAAAATTCATTGTGGAGTGTCTTTTGCTTTTTTTTCCCAGTGTGAACCCAAAGTTTTACCTTTCAGATAGAGATCAAGAGCAGCCAGCCTTTCCCATCAGACAGATATGTGCCCGGGGCATGGGGCTTAAGCGAATAACCCACATCCACCATTCTGTTCTTTATAAAGGAAGCCAAATGCTACACCACAATATTGCAATGGGGCAGTGAGACTAGTCCAGCCAGTGGGAATGATGGCGTTAGATGTGCTCTTGGCTGCTCAGCACTCGGGGAAGCATTCCAGAGAGTGTAGGGGTTCAGGCATGAGACTGCCGTTGCCTGCCAGCCCGGCTTGGTGGAAGGTGTTGAACTTCCCTGAACGTGTAGAAAACACCAACGCGCTGGGCAGAGCTCGGCACGGCAGTTTGGGAAGGGGGCTGCTGCAGCCGGAGCGGGGGATCGATGCTGATGCCAGATCGGGGATTTGCAGCACCGCTGCTGCGAGAGCCAGATTGTGCGTGTGTGGGGTGTGCGCGTGTGTGATGTGTGGGGTGTGCGTGTGTCTGTGCGGGGTGTGCGTGTGCCTGTGTGGGATACGCGTGTGTGCGGTGAGTGTGTGTGCGGGGCGGGCGCGCTCGCCGGCTGGCTTGTGCCGAAGAAGCTGCTTGACTTGCTCTCTGTTTTTGAGGGCACGGATTTAGGGACCCGGGGCTAAAAAATTCTCCGGAGCCAGGTAAATCCGCTCGTTACCTTATTCCCCTTCCCGGCTCCGAGTGCCCGCGCTGTCCTGCAGGTGCTGTCAGAGCGCTCCCGCGATGCGCAGCCGAGCCGGGAGCGGAGCCGGCTGCGAGAGCCGCGGAGGGAGGGGGGGGACGGGGACAGAGGATGGAGGGGGGGTGGGCTGGGAAAAACGTGTCCCCCCCGCCCCCGGCTGACGTCAGCGCGGCTCCGCGCGGGGCACCCGCAAAAGCGCCGCGCCCGCCGCGCCCCGCGCAGAGCCCGCGCTGAGCCCGCGCTCCCGCAGCGGCGCCGCCGCCGCCTCGGCCCCCGCCCGGCCCAACTTCCCGCCGGGACGGGACGGGACGGGACTGGACGGGACCGGACGGGAACGGCGGCGCCCCGCTGGGCTCCTCCTGAGGCGCTGTGCGGGCGATGCCTCTCGCCGCCGGGCTCCTGGCTCCCGGGGCGCGGCGGCTCTCGGCGGCGGCCCCTGCCCCCGCTGCCCGCTCGGGCGCCCCGAGAGCAGGTACGAGCGAGGGGGGCTCCCTGCGGCGGGGAGCGGCTTAGGGAGGGTTTGCCGGCGTTTGTTCTCCCAGTCCCAGTTTAAGATGCTGGCGGTGACCGGGAGCAGGGCAGCCGGGATCGGGATCGGGACGGGCAGCGGGGACGGGATCGCGGCGCCGGCGGGAGACGGCGGCGGCGGGCGGAGAGGTCGGGCGGGGAGCGCAGCGCCGGGACCCCGGTTTTCGGGGAGCTCCCCGACGGGGCTTCCCCCACAGCAGCTCCGCAGGCGCTTTCCGAGAGCAGAAGGAAGGGAGGAGGAGGGGGGATTCCAGAGGACTTTGCAAGTCGCTGCCTTGCAGCTCTCCTTCCACCACCCGGTCAACCTTCCGACCTGCTTCACCCTCCCCGAGCTGCCTCTGGTCCCGGCCGTTTTCACTGGGGATTTCTTCTTTCTCTCCTTACCTGTCTCAAAAGGTTTGACTGTAGGTACCAAAGCGGGGATCGACGGCGCATAAAGATGCTGAAGGGTGTTTGGTTGCTCAGTTTGTTAACAGTGGCTGGGATCTCGCGGACAGAGAGTCGCAAACCTGCCAAAGACATTTGCAGCAAAAGCCGCTGCCCTTGTGAGGAGAAGGAGAACGTGCTGAACATTAATTGTGAAAACAAAGGATTTACAACCGTCAGCCTCCTTCTGCCGCCACCGTCCAAGATCTACCAGCTGTTTCTCAATGGGAACGCACTGACCCGCCTGTTCCCCAATGAGTTTGTCAACTACTCCAATGCCGTGACCCTCCACTTGGGCAACAACGACATGCAGGAGATCCGCACAGGGGCCTTCAGTGGCCTTCGCACCCTCAAGAGGCTGCACCTCAATAACAACAAACTGGAAGTGCTGAAGGAAGACACGTTCCTGGGCTTGGAGAGCCTGGAGTACCTGCAGGCTGATTACAATTACATCAGTGCCATTGAAGCGGGGGCATTCAGCAAGCTAAACAAGCTCAAGGTGCTGATTCTCAATGACAACCTCCTGCTGTCCCTGCCCAGCAATGTCTTCCGCTTTGTGCTCCTCACTCACCTGGACCTGCGGGGGAACCGGCTGAAGATGATGCCTTTTGCTGGTGTGCTGGAGCACATTGGAGGCATCATGGAAATCCAGCTGGAGGAAAACCCCTGGAACTGCACCTGCGACTTGCTGCCACTCAAGGCCTGGCTAGACACCATCACCGTGTTTGTGGGCGAAATAGTCTGCGAAACCCCCTTCAGGCTTCATGGAAAAGATGTGACCCAGCTCACCAGGCAAGATCTCTGCCCTAGGAAAAGCTCCAGCGATTCGAACCAGAGGGAAAAACATCCTGTCCTCTCAGACCCGCACATCTCCAGGCTATCGCCCACAGCCAACTCTGCCATGAATCCCACCAGAGCCCCAAAAGCCAGCCGGCCACCCAAAACCAGGAACCGCCCCACCCCCCGTGTCTCTGTGTCAAAAGACAGACAAATATTCGGACCTATCATGGTTTACCAGACAAAGTCTCCAGTGCCCATCACCTGCCCAGCTGGCTGCATCTGTACGTCACAGAGCTCAGACAATGGCTTAAATGTCAACTGCCAAGAGAAAAAGATAAGTAACATCTCCGATCTCCACCCCAGGCCAACCAGTCCAAAGAAACTTTACCTTACCAGTAACTATCTGCAAGTCATTTATAGAACCGATCTCACAGAGTACAGCTCTCTGGATTTGCTACATCTAGGAAATAACAGAATTGCAGTGATACAAGAAGGTGCCTTTACAAACCTCACAAGTTTACGTAGACTTTATCTTAATGGCAACTACCTTGAGATCCTGTACCGGTCTATGTTCGAAGGGCTGCACAGCCTGCAATATCTCTACCTAGAGTACAATGTCATTAAGGAGATCCTGCCACGCACATTTGATGCTCTGAGTAATCTTCATCTGTTGTTTCTCAACAACAACCTGCTCAGATCCTTGCCTGACAATGTCTTTGGCGGCACTTCCCTCACCAGACTCAACCTTAGAAACAATCATTTCTCACACCTGCCTGTGAGAGGAGTCTTGGACCAGCTCTCAGCTCTAATTCAGATAGACCTCCAGGAGAACCCTTGGGACTGCACGTGTGACATCCTGGGGCTGAGGAACTGGATAGAGAAAGTCACTGACCAGAACAACCAGCAGTCAAATCCCCCCGTAGTTATCAATGAAGTCATATGTGAGTCTCCCACCAAGCACTCTGGAGCGCATCTGAAATTCCTGAGCAAAGAAGCCATCTGCCCAGAGAACCCCAACCTGTCAGATTCTTCTCTCCTCTCCATGAACCAGAACACAGATACACCCCATCTCCTCGGTGTCTCACCCAGCTCCTACCCAGAATTACATACTGAAGTTCCACTGTCTGTCTTAATTTTAGGATTGCTGGTTGTGTTTATTTTGTCAGTTTGTTTTGGGGCAGGTCTGTTTGTCTTCGTCCTTAAGCGCCGGAAGGGGGTGCAAAGCATGCCCAGCAGCGCCAACAACGTAGATATAAGTTCCTTTCAGCTCCAGTATGGGTCTTACAACACTGAGACCCACGATAAAACTGAAGGACATGTTTATAACTACATTCCCCCTCCCGTTGGACAGATGTGCCAAAACCCAATTTACATGCAAAAGGAAGGGGATCCAGTTGCCTATTACAGGAATCTCCATGAGTTTAGCTATAGCAGTCTTGACCACAAAAAGGAAGACCCCACCAGTCTTGCATTTACCATCAGTGCAGCTGAATTGCTGGAAAAGCAATCCTCGCCGAGGGAACCAGAGCTTCTGTATCAAAATATTGCAGAAAGGGTCAAGGAACTGCCCACTGGAGGATTAGTTCATTATAACTTTTGTACCTTACCCAAAAGGCAGTTTGCCCCTTCATATGAATCAAGACGCCAAAACCAGGACAGGATAAATAAAACTGTTTTATATGGAACTCCCAGGAAATATTTTGCAGAACAGTCTAAACCCGAGCATCCTTTACTCCAAGGAAAGCTACAAACAGAACCAGACTACCTCGAAGTTCTGGAAAAACAAACTGCAATCAGTCAGCTGTGAGGGGGGAGGTGGGAGACAAAGGAAATTTTTTAAATGAGCTCAACATCACATTTCATTGAGTCTGAACTCAGTGCTGATATCATCTGTGGCATTCCCAACATTTCCACTTTTTTAAATCAGAGAGGGAGAGAGAGAGAAAAGGAACCCTTGCAGCATAGCAGGGATATGGTGTTGCTTTTGCAACGTTCTCTTTAAGTTATTTCTCTCTCCTTTTGACCCTTCTGTAGGAACTGTCACTTAAAATGTACCTTTCTGTAATAGATCTTGCATAATTCTTTTTGATTTTGAAGGAAATGAGGAAGGGGGTCTTTGGGGTTTTTGTTGTTTTTCTTTTCTTTTAATTTCAAAGTGGAAACTTAATGTATTATGTAGAAGATCTCCAAAGATCTTTTTTCCTGGACTATGACTTTCTTTTGTAAATAATAGTATACGGTACTGCTATTTCAATTACCAACTATAGCCACTGGGCGTCACTTTTTTGTGTTAAAGTGCCTTTGCACTTTAAGTACATTATTACTTAATTGTTGCTCTTAGCTTTGATAAATTGAACCTATTTTAATGTGTTGTATTTTTGAAATTAAAAAAAAAATTGTAAAATAGATCTATATGTCAGCTGCATTAAATCAGAAGGTTTGATTTATAGGAAAGCTGCCCTTCTTTAAATGACTCTAGTTCTAGGACCTTACAGACTCAAATGTAAATTATTGGGATATTTTTTCCTTCTAGGTTTGTTTAGAGTGATTCACTGAAACCAATTGAGAGGATTTAGCAATGGACTAGAGGTTATCAAGCGCCTCAGCTGGGAATAACAGCTCATTAATAAAAGATGTTTAACACAATGTCATAGTGAACTGAACAATTAATGTCCTTCTTAATACATTACATTGCAGTTCTAACACAGTAATGTTCAGTGGCTTAAGATTATTTTCGTACTTAACAGAACATTACTCATAATATTTTATGCATTAAATTAGGTATTTTTATACATTTTGTGACAGAGTTTATATTTGTAACTTTTTTGGACTGAAATTAATATGTCCTCTTCCTGCCAGATACATATTTTTTTTTTCATAAGCAGGGACACCAGCAGGGGTCATCCCACACCTCATTAAATTTATTAACATACAGGCAAATGAACCAATGCCAAAGGTAAAATTTGAACCTGGGTCTCTGGATTCCTCCAGATCAAGGTAGTCAAAATCAGTATGTGCATCACACTAACTTTCAGTAATCTGAATTATGTCTAGTTTTCAGTCTCTAAAGCAAAAGTAATACTGCAATAATTCTAATCTGCTAGAGAAAACTACCATTAAGTTCATGATCTTAAATTTTGTAAAATGTTTTAAGTTAACTGAATTCCATTCTCAGCTTTGGTTTTCTTAAGCCCATCAGTGAACGAATGCCATGAGTCTTCTTTCCCATTAACTCAGGCCTGTTTTGCTTCAAGCTTTATGTTATCACCTCCAATTTACATTTCCTTCCTGGAGAATATTGAAACCATTTTTATTAACAAGTACACAGTCAAACTTTATTAAGGCTTATTAGCT